ACCTAGGAGCTTTCAGAAGCCTCTCTTTTAGATTTTATCATTTCATAGCCATTATTGATTATATTATTGGCCACTGGAGATCTATTCAACCTCCAGCCTGTGTCCCCTCCCAGACCTGGACATCAGGCGGTGGAACTGAAAGTTCCAACTCTCTAGTCACGTGGTTGGTTCTCCTGGCCCCTAGCTTTAGGAGCTGATCAGAAAGTCAACTCATTAACATGACAAAAGACACCTTTATAGCTCTCTAGCTCTCAACAGTCAGAAATTCCAAGGGTTTTAGGAGCTCTGTACCAGAAACAGGCATGATGAACAATCTAGATTTCTTCGTTTAGATCAATATCACACCATCACTCATATTATTGTGAAAAGGTAATAAACTTCTGTTTGTCAAGTGTTGGCAAAGAACTGGCACACAGCAGGTACTTGCTGTCCTCGTTCCCACACCAATTTACTCCACTCAAGATCGAGGTGCAGCCCTGACTCCAGCTGACATTTCCAAGGATTAGGGACCCAGAATTTGGGAATCATTACATGAAATTTTACATCTACTCTTGGTATCTCTAATCCACAGAAAAAGTAGAGGCCCATAGGCTGATTTCAACCCTAAGCCATATTTTGTTTGGTGTGTGTACAGTGTTAAAGGTTTTTATTTGTTTTTTAAAGGCTTTTAAAATTGGGTGTCAATATGTAAAATTATAATGAAAATCCACTGTCTAGCTTTTCTTGAATAAATGAATCATCTGGACCATTGAGTCCACATTCCCACCTCGGTTACAACGGGGTGACAACTAGAAAACCCCATGGAACCTTACCATGTGCCAGACACTGTTCCATGCACTTTGCTTATAATCTAATCTTTATAACAAATTTATGAGAGAGGAACTCTTATCAGTCCTGTTTTGTAGAAAAGAAAAGTGAAGCATGAAAAGATTAGGTAACTAACGGTCATGACAATTAGAAGATGGGATTCGAAGTCGGGCATTCTGGCTGCGGGCAGTGCTCTAGAACTGCCACAACACATCCACAGCTCACACAAACCAGACCGGCCTTGGTGCTATAAACATCAGGTGCGTGTGCAATACTCACTTCTGCTAAGTCCTTTTGGTGGGCAACTTGCAGGAAAAGCTAGATGGAGATTCATTTTTAAAATTAATTCCTGAGGAAATACCACATAGGACTTTAGTAACTTGGTGGATCAAAGTTAATTGGCCGTAACCTTGGTCAGGTAGTGAGAGCACCAAATGAATCAGAGAGAAAGCCTCATTCAGACAAAAGGAAATATTTGCCAGATGCCTCCTTTTTCTAGCTCCATAGGAGGAAATAAACTGCACCTGCCACAAATACCCAGATTCTTTTATCCTGCAGTAATTAGGAAGTAGTTTCTGAACTAATTTATTTATGCCTCCTTCCCCCACCACTTCCATTACACCACTAGCTATGTTTTCAACAGAGAGAGGGAAAAAAAGTAAAGTGCCCATGAGAAAGCCTTATTTGGGGTAGTGAATATCCTAAAACCCTGCGAGGCAGATGATATTAATAATATCATTATTTAGCTACTGGAGGCTCTGAAGTACCAGAAGGTTAACTGACTCCTCTAGGCTCACATTTGCCCAGGCATCCTGGCTCCCGCCCAATCTTCTGGCACTGTATCTCCAAGATCCCAATAATAATCCCTAAATTAGTATGCTGACTGTGGAACTGTTTTTTCAAAACTGAAAAACATTTTTATTTGATTTTGAATCTCATAACAACTCTATTGCATAGGTAAAACCAACTTAGCCATTTTTTTTTTTATGGTAAAACCTGACCCTAAGAGAGATTATTAACTTGCCCTTGGTCACAAAGCAGAAAGTAATAGAGAAATAACTACATATTGTCTGATTCCAACTCCTGTGAGTATTCGACTACATTATCTTGCCATGTTCTACTTTTTTCTTAGAGTCTAGACTTCTGGAGCTATTTCAGCAGATTGAACTCAAAGGGGGTTTATCAAAAAGTATCCAGAAGTCAAGAAAAAAGATCTAGTTTCTAGGTGGGTAGTCTGAAAATGCACAAGGTCAGGGTACCTGGAAATGGGAAGGAGGAAGGAAGTGTTAAAAACTAAAGAAGCTGATAAATAGTTTCAAACTTGAAGACATTGGAAAAAAAAAAAAAGAGGATGATTATATAAACAGCCTGCATAAAGCAAGCAGAATTGGAGGAAAGTGCTAGTTATAAGTTAGGATTGCATTAGCTGCATGTGACAGAAACCCAACCACAGTGATTCATCTAAATGTGGGTTTGTTTTTCTTATGTGATGAGTAATCTGGAAATTGGAAGTCCAGGACTGGTGCTGTGACCACTTCAATGCCATAAGGCTCCCAGACTCATTAGCTTTTTCTCCTCCATCCCATGTGGCTTTCATTCTCGTGCTCAAAAGGGGGCACGGCGTCTACTGTCCTTGAAGGAGGAAGGTAAAAGGATAAAAAGACAAAGCAGCTGAGTCCATCTCCATTTAAAGGACATTTCCAGAAGTCTCCCACCTCCTCCCAACTTTTGGTTGCCTCTCATTGGCCTCAGTTGTCACATGACCACTCTTGGCTGGAGGAAAGTAAGCTGAGTTTTGGGCTTTGGTTTTGAGATCATCACATTGTTATCCTGAACAGATTTTGGCTCTGTATACTGTATATAACAATATAACTGTATCAGTCAGCATCCAACAGGAAAAAGATGGCACATCCAAGTGAAAATATTAAGACTATAACCGGATTGCACACAATACTATGGCTGGGTCTAGGGCATCCTGAAGGCTTGACACAGTAACCTGGGACTAGGGCCAGATCATCCTTAGGTATAAAGGGATGAAGACAGAGGGACAGAAGAACCAGGAAGGGCTGGAGTAAGTAGAGAATGTCACTTTGAAAGTAGCATTAACTTCATTAAAGGATATAACCAGCCCAGGGCAAACTCAGAAAAAGAGAAGGGACTGATAACCTGTACTTATTTTCCACCCTTCCTCCGACATCTGCCAAAGCTCCCTATTGGCCAAACCAAACAGAAGCCAGAGGACAAACCTTTTGGTGTTGTCCATATAGGTCAGTATCCTGAGGCTGATATCAGGATGGAGAAAGGAGGAGAAAGGATCTAGAGGGGCAGATAGAAGATATCTGTCATAGTTATCCTAAGGTGGAAGGGGAAAATGAGTATTGAGTTAACTACTAACAGTATCTGTCAAATATAGAGAGGTTCAAGATCCAGATGGGGATGAATTTGAAGAACCTTGAATTCTAAGTAGTATTTGCTGAGAACAGTTTGCAAGTAAGCTCTGAATGCTTTCTTAAAACAGAAATGCCATTGAGACACTTTCCTTAATGTTAGGGTTGCTCTTAAGAGGACGGGACTTTTCTCTACCTGGTATTTCCTGCTTCACCTCCCAAGAGAGGTGCCCTGATTTTTCTTGGAGTCCAACTCCCTTAGTACCAGAGTGGTGTTCACTCTTGGCCAGTGAGAAGCCCTTGGAAAGGAGTTTCTGTGAATAGCTCATTAACACAGATGAGAAAATATTTCGGTATTTTTACCCTCACGTTTTAGGGTTCCCTTTTCTTGTCTCTTTCTTGTTAGATGTTTCTGCCTTTGAGGGAGATTTGCCATCAGCAATGACTGAGAACAAGCAAGTTCACTGGGGAGAGGAGAATGAATCACAGAGCAGGCTGTAGAAGAGGCTCAGTAAAACAGGAGGGGCGCTGCCTGCACTGAGTGCAACATATTGCACAAATCTTCATCCTACTCTTCATAAAGTCGTTGTACGAAAAAGGATTTATTGCAAAATTCCTGCCATGTCCTCCTTAAAATATGATTGAATTTATGTACACATGATCAACCAGCACCTCTTCCAAATGAAGATGTAAGGAAAGATGGAAATGCCAGCCCATTTGCGCACTCACAGGGTCTTTCAAACAGTCAACCAGGACCCCCATCTGACTCTTGGTTGTCAGCTGCTCAGGGATAATTGAGCTGGAGAACCTGTTCATGATTACCAGACTCACAGGAAGCAGATTTATAATCAAACAAAATCCTTTCTTGAACTAGAATTTTTGACTGGGGCATCTCCCCAACCCTTCACCTTTGCTCTCATCCTCTTGGTTCCCTCTGCTTGGAGCACCATTATTCCTGCCCTCTGCCTGTCTCTCAGCTAAGCTCCTTTCATCCTGTAGCTGAAGAATCCCTTCCACAGGGAGGCCCTGCTTCACCCCTAGACTGCAGCAGGCCCCTAGCAAATGTTCTCGAGGCACCAGGGACCCCTCAGGTGAGGCACTCACTACCTCGCCAGGGGGCATATTCCCCTCCAGGCTGGATGCACCTTTGTTTATTTCTGTATTGCTTGGTGCAAATTTAGCACTGGGATAGATTAGATGTTCAATAAGTATTTGCTTGGATTTATCATTTGAAAATAAAAATTGCTCGGGGAGCATGAAATATATAAGCTACACTATTGGGTTGTTTGTGGCATATTTTCATTCCAGCCTGGAGGATTGTCCCTGTTCTGATGCTGAGAGAGCCAGTAGGCAATGCTGGAAAGACACGGACAAATCCTTGCTGAGCTTCATGCCAGTCCCCTCCTTTTGTAATGGATTGGGAACTCTTCTATCTCTTGTCAGTGGAGGGAGTGGAGGAACACTTGCATATTTCTCCAGGGACCAGAGTGAGAGATGACTTTGGCATGGATGTTTGTGTGTGAGAGAGTGTGTGTGTGTTGTGTGTGTGTGTGTGTGTGTCTTTGGGCACACAAATGGCCCTGAGAAGGAGGCATTAGAAAATGGGCCATGGTCAAATGGTCCCTGCACATCTCTCTGACTGTACCATCGTGTGAATGATGCAAGAAGCTGATTGTTAACATGGGCTCGTCATAGCCCAGTCGTCTCCTGGCTTCCTCTCAGAAAACAGCAGGATTTTCCAATTGCCTCAGTGGTCCTAGTTGTTACACTAATAAATCCTTCATTCATCTGCCTTCCAGTAGAGACATGGGCCCTGAGTACTCTTTGTGAACTCCTTTCATACTCTACAAAGATGCCATCCACTTAATCACATAATATGGATTAGACAACTAGTCTGGACATGTGTTTATTTCTACTTTGTTCTGGATCTTACTCATCTGATATAGTAAGCAAATGATAGGCATCAAATAAATATAAATGTAATACATTATCATGATACTTGGGGACACCAGTAGAGCCTTACTCTCTCTTACGTTAATACTTCAGCCCCTTTTCTTCTTCGTGGTGACCCTTAAGAGTATAATGAGCACCTTGTCACGTAGCTCCTCTTCCATTTCTGGTACCACTGCTGATACCTTCAGCTGGTCCATTTGCTGGGGATGCGATTACCTCCAAACCTGTGGCAGGATGCAAATACAACAGTACAGTTTGTCTTAACCTTAGTTATATTTTAGCATACTTGGTAATATTTGAGAACATCCGAATGGATTTTAGGATGCAATCTAGTCTTATTAAAAACAAATTTTCACAATTATTAGATAATATTTTTTCCTTGGCCCTGAAATGTGGGGAAAGATGTGCCTTGGACCTGTTACGTGCTATGCATTCTAAAAATGAGGCATGTGCGCTTGGGTGGGTACACATACAATAGCATGAGGAAAGAGTCTTTTTAATAATTTAAGTTACACAGGATTATATTCATTAGGATATTCTGTGTGTAGATTTCTACAGCACCTTCAAAGTTGGTTGGAATTCCTAAATATTCATGTGTATTATAAACTGATACTGAGGTGACATTCACAACTTATCATTTTGTTATACTTCATCTTTCTGGCCACTACCCGTTCATCCTTCCAGGCCCCATCCAAGTATAGACTCCAGCCCCTACTGATGCTTCTCTTACTCCATTCTGTCTTTATGCTTTATCTATTTCACCCCAGGTAAACCCATTTCAATGTATTTCCCTTATTTTCTACTTGCTGTATTGGGTAATTTATTATTTCACTTGAGAGTTCTATTTGTTTTATGTATGTGCACATCTTATGTCCCAACTAATTATAAAGGCTAACACTTATTGAACACTTTCTCTTTATTAATTCATTTAATCCCCCCATAACTCTAAATATATGCATTATTATTATCCCCATCTTATCAGATGAAGTAATGAAAGCAAAGAGAGCTTAAGGAATTTTCCTGGGTCACATGAAATTAGACTAATTCATCCATTTTTTCAAGAGTCATTAACTGTTCCTCTGTATCAATGTTGTATTAGATGTTAGGCACTGTATTTTGGTTGTTCCTGGGTGAGGCCAGTAGCTTGCAGTTTTGCAGTGATAGCTATATCCAAAGCACTTATCCTAGGTGAAGACATATATAGCGCCGGCCAGATATATGCATGGATTTCATATTGTATATGGATTTGGATTGCAATATTGTATATGACATATGATGTTTAACCTACCATAAGAAGAATCTTGTTGTCATAAATTTAATGTCAAGATAATGGGCAATTCTAAGAAATCACAAGCCCTCTGAGATCTGTTCTTTCCCACCGAGTAGGATTTGGACAGCCACACGGCCCAGCTCACCTAGCAGAATGCTGCCTTTAGGACTCTGTTCCTCCATGAGAAGTTGGATTTGGGATTAGAATCCACTTTTATTTATTTGTTTGTTTGTTTTTTAGAGAGGGAGGGGGAGGGGCACACGGAGAGGGAGAGAGAGAGAGAATCTTAAGCTGGGCTTGGAGCTGGATTTAGGGTTCAATCTCACCACCCTGAGATCAGGACCTGAGCTGAAATCAAGAGTTGGCTGTTTAACCAACTGAGCCACCCAGGCACCCCAAGAATCCAATTTTAAACCAAACTGCCCACATCCTGTTGTTTTGTTTTGTAATTGCATATTGACTTCAGTGTGGTGAATGTCAGGAGGCCTCTGTCCGGCTGCCTGCTAGTGAGAATCTTCTCCCTGGGATCTGACTCAATTGTTGCAGCCTTTGGTTTCCTTACAGTCAAAAGATTTGTTTCTGTCAAAATTTTTAGTGGAGGCAAAGGTATTATTTTCTAGATAGAGTTTCATAATAAAGCAGCTCTCCAGGGTAGGAAGCATAGCTTTGGTAATATTTCTGCTCATTGGAAAAAAAATTAGGTGAGGTCCCAATTCCAGAATATATGAATGAAGATATACTTTAGCCTTGGTTTTAATACATTCTAACATTCTCCAACAAAAAATCATGAAATAGGTATGTATCAAATGCTTTGTTATAGAATTTATAAACCTGGATAGAGTCTAGTTATCAAAACTTCTCATTTTATACTTAATTAAATAAATGTTTTATAGGTTATGATTTGTCCAGAGCTACAATTATAGCTGGGTGGTGTCAGAATGGATAATAGAATACAGGCCTCATAATTCCTGTTCCAGAATTATTTTCTCAGTACTCAGATACTCTTAACTGCTTATAGAGTATTCCATACCTATTACATTTAAAATATATTTCAATTAGGGAAATTCTGATGCAAATAGTTCTTTGAAACACAATCTGTGAGGCAAATTGAAGCATGCCTCTAACATAAACTGCATATATTGTTATATAGCCTGAGGATTGGTTCATTCCAAAATTGGCATTCTGTTTGCAAGCTATGGAAAAACAAAAGAAAACCATAGAAGGCTTTGAATATGGCACCAGAATGAAATAGCTCAGTAAAATTTAAGCAGATGCCCACTGATTGCTTCTGACTTGCAACCATTGCTCCTAACTTTGTTTTGCCCCATTCTTTATTTAGAGGCAGCTCTAGGATCAATAGGTGTATTTGGAAACTCCAGAAGCATCACAATCTTATCCAAAATGTAAGTGTCAATGGATGGACAACATGGAGATTGTATAGTCTGCTAAATGAAGCTGCAGATAGTGCAGAGAGGCAAGCCCCATTTATGCTCTACCTGCACCTCAACTGGAGACCAGACTTAGGCTGTAACTCGAAGATCAGACCCTATCGAAATATTTTCTGCAAAGGACAGGCTGTTATTTTTCCCTGAATTGTAAAAACAAAACAAGAGCATAGAGGTCGACTGCATTGGATTTCAACCAAGAAAGGCTAGTTTGAAAGCTTAAAAAGGAAGAACCCCCCTCCCACCCAGGGTAAAACTTGTGGGGAAATCTGCCTGGGCAGGTCATACATAAGAAGCAATGTTTCTTAAACAACTAAACAAGGTGAATCAGGGAAAAAGAAAAAAAAAAAGAGGTTTACAAAATCTATTGTTTTTTTAATTGAAGTATAGTTAACATACAATATGATGTCAGTTTCAGGTATACAATATTTATATACATTAGGAAGTGATACTATCATAAATCTAGCTGTCACGATAAAAAAATTGCTACATATTATTAACTATATTCTGAGTTGTACTTTTCATCCCCATCTTATTTGTATTATAACTGAGAGTTTGCAACTTTTAATCCCCTTTGCTTATTTCATCGGTCCTCCCCACCTCTCCCCTCTGACAAACACCAGACTGTTCTATCTGTGAATCTGTTTCTTCTTTGTTTTGCTTGTTCATTTGTTTTGTTTTTTAGATCCCACATATAAGTAAAATCATACAGTATCTGTCTGACTTATTTCACTTAGCATAATACCCTGTAGGTCTATCCATGTTGTTGCAAATGGCAAGATTTCATTCTTTTCTTCATGGCTGAGAGGAGAAAAAGTTTAATGTTATATCATCCAATTTTTTTTTAATGAAGATAGAAGTCTTTGAAATTTTTATTTACCATCATTTTAATATGAATATTTAAGGCAATTTAAAATTATTTTCCCTCTTACTCTGCATTAATTATGGTATCACTGATTTTCCTAAGTATGATAATTTTCAGAAAGATAATTTCCTTGGTTAGGAAGGAATTATTATATTACTGAAAATGTAATTTTGACAAAGTCAGTTTACCATCATTCCATATGAAATGCCTTTTTATCGCTACCCACCCTCTCCAGTGGTAGCTGGTTCCTCATTCATATAGGCTTGACTTCAGAATATGCACAAATTCCTGGTCTAATCACTGTTGGTTAGAATAGCAGGGCTGTGTCCTTCCATTCAGGTGCCATGAATGTGAATCACTCATGATCAAAGTTACTTTTCATGGAAGGGCCGAGTATGACTGACAGGTATGGTGAGGTCTGCAGACTTCACTGTACAATAGAGTACAGAAGAAACTCTAACTCTCCTTAAGTGTGAGTGGGACTTGTGAGTACACTGGTATTTTAATTCCATGACTAGATTACTAATTAATTAACTCTGAGTTAATCAAAAGATTAGATTGGGTCCTAGAGGAGCTGGGTACTTGCTGAACAGAGAGAGTCTCCTGCTGGCCTTGAAAAAGTAACCTGCTATTTGGTGAGAAAACCTATGGAGAAGGCCACATAGCAAGGACCTGAGGATGGCCTCTAGGAGATGACAGTGGTCCTGGGTTAACTGCTAGCAGGAAAACAGGCACCTCAACCACAGCTGCAGGAAAACGAACTTGGCCACCAACAACCATGCACACCTAGAAAAGGATACTAAGCCTCAGATGGGACCACAGTCCCAGCCACCAGCTTGACGCTAGCCTGGTGAGAATCTGTGACAATGACCAATAAAGGAAATTTTCAACTTTTAATGTTTGTGGGCCCTATTCTTGGGCTCCTAGGAAACTATAACTTTTACCAAGGTCAGAATGGCTTCACCAAACTTGAAGGCATGGGCTCTATTGCTGCCCCGAGCACACATCGTACATCTGCTTCATTAGCAAATAACCTAAAAGAGACATTTCAAACTAAAGATAACAGTAAAAATCTCTCCAAGTCCTGTTCCCATACCTCTGAACGCTGTAACCTTGCACATATTCAAGTATAAGTTAAAGCTTGTGATTTTCTGAAATGTCCTTTGTCACAATGATTTGCAACTCTGGATGTAACAAAAAATCATATATAATATATAACCCTGTATTAAACATTCCTTCTCTGGAGAACTCTCTTCTTTGTGAAGATTATGTATCCTAGGCAACAGCTGTCCTCACTTGGTCTCAAATAAAATTCTCTTCCCCCCGTTTTTTTTTTTTTTTAATTTCTAAAAGGGGTGTGTGTGTGTCATTTTGCATCAACAGGACCCAGCTAAGCCATGCCCAGAATCCTGAGCCACAGAAACTGTGATAAATTTGTGTTGCTTGGGACACCTGGATGGCTCAGTTGGTTAAGCGGCCAACTCTTGATTTTGCTCAGGTCATGATCTCAGGGTTGTGAGATCGAGCCACATGTCAGGCTGTGGGCTGGGTGTGGAGTCTGCTTAAAATTCTCTCTCTCCCTTTCCCTCTGCCCCTTCCCCTGGCACGCACACTCACAGGCGCTCTCTCTTTCTCAAATTAATT